CATTCCACCATGAAATAAATCGGGGAAGCATCCTCTTGGGAGTCGGTCCCACAAAGCAGCGGTTCATGGGAAGTAGCGGCTCGAGTGGAACTTACATCTCACCAATGGAATACAAAGGGAATGATGGTGGTTCGCTGCAATCTTCATGGTATGGTGGGTCTTAACTGTAACAGGTTAGAACCGGTGGAACTAAAGAATACATTCCATGGAAATAGCGATAAAGTATTGAGAAACTTGTGACGTTTTCATTCAACAGTGTTAAAAGGGGTTTTAGGGTGGAAATTAATTCATCACCCACAAGGCCGCGTGGACGCGTTTGTATTCCCTCGAGACTCGAAGTTGAAGAACGTGAAGCTCCTGTCTATATATGGCTACAATGAATTGGAAAACCAACACGGATTCAACATTGGCGGCCACAATCTTAACATAAGATACGCAGAGGACACAGTAATGATAGCAGACACGGAAGAGAAATTACAAAACCTCCTACAGAAGGTAGTGAAGGAGAGCGAGAAGAAAGGACTAAGCATAAACTACAAGAAGATGGAATGCATGGTCATCAGTAAAAGGCTGAGCCCGAAATGCGATTTGCAGGTCGAGGGCACTAAAATCAAGCAGTTGCGGAAATTTAAATATCTGGGAAGTGTTCTGACAGAGGACGGTAAATGTGACACTGAGATCCGAAGACGGGTTCGGGTGGCTAAGGACGCATTTCAAAAGCTGGGCAGAGTAATGCAAGACAGGAGAATTTCTTTAGTAACAAAGAAAAGAGTACTGTACAATTACGTGACATCTGTCCTTTTTTACGGCAGCGAATGTTGGACGGTCCCTTCAAAGATGAAAAAGAGACTCGAGACGACGGAGATGTGGTTCTACAGAAAGATGATGAGGATATCGTAGACCGAGCTTGTGAGCGGATGCAAACAAGGAGTAGTTTTATACTTAACATCAGGAAGAGGGAGCTTTAATTTCTGGTGCACGTAATGAGAAAGGAAGGTCTGGAAAATCCGATACTCACAGGTCGAATAGAAGGAAAGAGAGACAAGGGAAAGCAACGCATGACATACCTGGCGGGTGGATGACAGAACGTGGTCTGAGGGAGGTGGAAGAAGGACGAAACCTATTGAGAAACACAAGGGATAGAGTAGAGAGCCATGATCGCCTACGTCATGAAGGGACACAGCACATAAAAAAGAAAGAAAGACGCCAATTTCAGGCCTGATCTGGCTCTTGTAAATGTGGCAGATATCAGGAGGAGGCAGGTACTTGGTTTAGTTTGGTTAGTTGTATTTTACGGTATATCACTCTCAATGGATTATTTAATGCTGACAAAGTTTTTATTGCTGGTAATATTTTGTTTTGTCAAAAATCTATTTCTGTTAATCATTTTTTTCTTCAAAAATATATTGCTGTTAATAATTTTTTTCAAAAAAATGATTGCTGGTAATATTTTTTTCCTCAAAAATGTATTGCTAGTAATATTTTTTTAAAAACGTATTGTTCGTAATATATTTTTTTTCCAAAAATGTATTGCTGGTAATAGGTTTTTTTTTTTTTCAAACATTTATTGCTGATAATAATTATTTTTACAAAGTATTCCTGGTATTAAAACCCATTTTTACCTCAGTTTCGGACTTAACTATTTGCCCATAGCTGGGACACTAACAGGTGCTACCACCCCGGGTCAGAGTGGACCTGAGAACACCAGCAATTAATAGGTGGTTCCACGATCCTCAAAAACCTCCTTGCTGCTGGACGTACTTTATCGTCTTACCCAGGACGCGGATGTAGTTCATCGTCATACCCAGAACGGGGTATGACGATGAACTTACAGGAGCGGTAGTGGGTATCGGCCGTTTTCGTAATATCTTTAGCGACTGATGGCATTTACGACTTCCACTTGAGGTCTGGGTTGATTTTATCGCAATAGGCGCTTAAGGCACGGGCCCTCTCTGAGAGAATACGTGATAAGCGAAAATTGAATCTCACATCACTCACCACTTCTCACGTGAACATGGTGAATTCATCTCACCCAAAGGTAAATAACTGCCCTCTGTAACCCTCCATCAATAGGAAATCTTAAAGGGTGTTGCTTATTGATTGCCGTCAATTAATTCTATATTAGTCCTAAACGACATTTGCAAATTTTCGTTTGCAAATTGTGTCTGTATTTCGAAATCGTTTACTTATTGTGAGTAATCTTCTTATGTTCATACATTTGAATGAAATGACCCATATGATGATAATTTCTTACGACTAGCTTTCGGAATTATTTCTTTATTCATGACTCTCCACATTTTCCTTCCCTTGTATCGCTTAATAAATGTTATCTATTTGTTATCTCGCCTAAGCCTTGTTCTGCTTTCCATTTACACAAGCTTATTTTTATTCTCCTAGGTGGCGTGTCCTTTCAGAACCTAAACGATCATAGCTCTCCACAAGTTCCTTTTCTTTTTTAGCTCTTAAATTTTTTTGTCTTTTTTAAAATCTCGATGGGATAGCTTAGTACAACGCAACAAGACGCTACATGACATTTAAAACTCATATTCTGAAATAGTCACTCAAGTCGAAACTCTCATATAGATAACGACAAAGTTGTTCAAAAATAACTAAACTGTCAGCTGCATGCTACATTTTCAGATTCGTCGGTAAAAATGGCTTCCAGCAAATGAAGCGTATATGTTTTAGCGAGAACCAACCTTATTCAAACCAGGTGTGGATTAGCGCTACATTATCACAAACAAAGAAAAAAATGTACCAAATAAAAGAAATCACATCATTTAAGGACATCCTACAGTTTGACTATCGCCCGGTTCACATGCTTTCGTCGTTTTTTGAAGAGGAGCAGAAGTTAATCATTGGTCTGCTGTTTAGGATTGCGTTTCGGGGTCTTTCTCCTGAAGCCTTCTTACTCGCAGAAACCCATTGCGTCTTAATGGTATTATCGACTTCCTTGGACCGAAAAAAAAATATTCAAAATATTGGCATTCCACATTACATTGAACATAAAGCCAGGAAAGAAAACTTCATCAATACTGAAGAGAAAGATAAAAGTGGATTTGAGAAACATATTTTCTTGCAAAAGTGTTGCAATAAAAAAGATTTTATAAATTTCAACAAAAAGAAAAACTGGATGCAATGTCAATGAGTGTTGAATGTTTTTCCATAATATTACCATTACCATAATGGATCAGAATATATACTACACATTCATCACAGTACAATGACATTATAAGGAAACAGACAATATTACCATTACCATTATAGATAAGAACCTATACTACAGATTGATCACAGTAAGATGACATTATAAGGAAACGGATAATGTTACCATTATCATTATGGATAAGAACATATACTACACATTGATCACAGTACGATGACATTTTAAGGAAACGGATAATATTACCATTATCATTATACATAAGAACACATACTACACATGTATCACATTATGATGACATTATAAGGAAACGATTAATATTAGCATTACCTTTATAGATTAGAAAATATATACACATTGATCACAGTACGATGACATTATAAGGAAACGAATAATATTAACATTACCTTTATAGATAAGAACGAATACTACACATTGATCACAGTACGATGACATTATAAGGAAACGGAAAACAATACCATTACAATTATACATAAGAACATATACTACACATTGATCACAGTAGGATGACATTATAAGGAAACGGATAATGTTATCATTACCATTATAAATAAGAACGTATACTACACATTGATCACAGTACGATGACAATATAAGGAAACGGATAATATTACCATTACCATTATGGATAAGAACATATACTACACATTGATCACAGTACGATGACATTTTAAGGAAACGGATAATATTACCATTATCATTATACATAAGAACACATACTACACATGTATCACATTATGATGACATTATAAGGAAACGATTAATATTAGCATTACCTTTATAGATTAGAAAATATACTACACATTGATCACAGTACGATGACATTATAAGGAAACGAATAATATTAACATTACCTTTATAGATAAGAACGAATACTACACATTGATCACAGTACGATGACATTATAAGGAAACGGAAAACAATACCATTACAATTATACATAAGAACATATACTACACATTGATCACAGTAGGATGACATTATAAGGAAACGGATAATGTTATCATTACCATTATAAATAAGAACGTATACTACACATTGATCACAGTACGATGACAATATAAGGAAACGGATAATATTACCATTACCATTATGGATAAGAACATATACTACACATTGATCACAGTACGATGACATTATAAGGAAACGGATAATGTTATTATTACCATTACACATCAGAACATATACTACACATTGATCACAGTACGTTGAGATTATAAGGAAACGGATAATATTACCATTACCATTAAAGATAAGAAAATATATTACACATTGATCACAGTACGATGACATAAAAAAACGGATAATGTTATCATTACCTTTATAGATAATAACATATATTACACATTGTTCACAGTACGATGACATTATAAGGAAACGATTAATATTAACGTTACTTTTATAGATAAGAACATATACTACACATTGATCACAGTGCGATGACATTATAAGGAAACGAATAATATTACCATTATCATTATAAATAAGAACATATACTACACATTGATCACAGTACGATGACATTATAAGGAAACAAATAATATTAACATTACCATTATGGATAAGAACATATACTACACATTGATCACAGTACGATCACATTGTAAGGAAACGGATATTATTACTATTGCCATTATAGATAAGAACATATACTACACATAGATCACATTACGATGAGATTATGAGCAAACGAATAATATTACAATTACCAATTATTCCTGCGTACAGTGTTATGTGGATACAGAATCTACGATTATTATTTTTTGAAGGATTTCCCTATCATATTCACGCGAATGTTACTGTCCACAATTTCCAGTTTATAATTTGTCTTTTTCTTTTATTCGACCATTTCCTTTCCTCCTCTCTTCCTCTGTCTTTATATTTGAATCTGTGGTCGTAGACTACACAATCCCTATTATCTATCCTTGTTGTTTCCCACGTTTCGAAAATGTCATTATTTAGCCTTTCCGTTTCCTTTCGAACATATTCCAACTTCCCATATTGGTGCACCAAGTTATCATTCCATGTTTCAATTAGGCTTACGTATTTGCTATTTCTTTTAGATCAAATTTAACCACATTCACAGCAAAGGCATTTCATTATCGGCTTTAGTTCGTTTTTCGTGAGTGGCAAAAGCTGAAGCTAGCGAAATGTTAGAGGAAAAGATACTGGCAATGAACTGAATCTTTTTAATATGAGCCTTGATTTTTTCAATATACAATGTAAATAGTTTTTCGCATTTGTATAAAGTGCTTCAACAATTTACCAGAAAAGCGATACGAATCGTATTGAAATACTATTTTCTATCTATCTATCTATCTATCTATCTATCTATCTATCTATCTATCTATCTATTTCTCTTTATATTTATCTATGCATCTACCTATCTCAATGTCTGTCAGTTCATATCTATCTATTTATCCTGCTCATATATCTCTCCCTCTCTATGTCATTTACTCTTTTTTTTTCCCCTCTCTCTGTATATATATATATATATATATATATATATATATATATATATATATATATATATATATATAAACAAATATAGATAACAGTACTCGTTTCGAAAAACCCTCGAATTTTTGATTTGCCTATGATTTTTGATTTGCCTATGGGAGCATATGATGGAGCAGAGGTGTGCGAGGTAGTAGGGTGCCTACTGCTCCATAAGCTTAATGAATATATAGATTTTAATAACCATGGGTTGTACCGCGACGACGGTTTAATTATAGTGGATAAAAGTAACCCTCAAAAATGTGACACTATCTGTAAAAAACTACACTGGTTTTTTTTTTTTAAATTCGGATTTAATCTCGAAATAGAAACTAATTTGAAAATCACTGACTATTTAGATATTACGTTAAATTTACAAAATGGTACAATATCCCCGTATAAAAAAGATAACCAGGAACCCCAATATTTAAACATAAAATCTAATCACCCAGCCCATATCATAAGACTTATTCCAAAGAATATTGGGTATAGACTTTCTACTAATTCCTAGGGACATTTTTGAGGCCAATAAAATAAGTTATGAGGAAGCCCTATCTAAGAGTGGATATAAAAATAAATTGGAATATATTAATATAAATAACCATAACAGTCCTCAGAATAAACGTAACAATAGACAGAGAAAGATTTTGTGGTTTTACCCTCTTTTTAATTTAGCGGTAAAAACAAAAATTGGCAAAATATTTTTTGACTTATTAGAGCAACATTTCAAAAAAAAACTGAGTTACATAAAATATTCAACAAAAATAATGTAAAACTTAGTTATTGTTGCATGTCTAATGTAGGGACCTTAATAAGTGGATTGAATAAGAAAAAACTAGGGATAATCCACGCAGTAATCTCCCTACTTGTAATTGTAGAAACAAAAACATCTGCCCATTACAGGGAAAATGTCAGCAAGAATGCGTGGTGTATCAAGTGAAAATTTACAAGGATAGGGAGGATACTAACCCTAAAATATACATAGGTGCTACTCAGGATAAATTTAAAAAAAGATTCTATAATCACACGAGTAGTTTTAAAAACGAAAAAACTAAACAGTACCACGTTATCCACCTATGTATGGAAAACCAAACAAGAAGATAATAAAGACCCAATCCTTAAATGGGAAATATTAAAAACTGCCCCTAATATAAAGCAGGTCAAAAATTTTGTAAATTGTTTACAGAGGAGAAATTAGCCATAGCTTTATATGATCAACCTAACCAGCTATTAAACTCCAAAACTGAAATTCTTAATATATGTAGGCATAAAATTCTTGGTTACTAAATTAGACGAATTTTCCCGTTTATTTGTCATTCCACCTTAATGTTCGTATTTTAATATCCCCTCCCCTTTTTGTTGAATAAATCTTTAGCACCCCCCCCGATCCCACTCAGGTGGTTTTGTGTTTGCGTTTGTGTGGTTCTTTCTTTGGTCTCATGGTATAATTTTGGCTATCACCTATAAATATGCGTTTCCCTTTGCCTCTTTAGCCGACTTTCCCTGACGATCCGTTTAGCTGAAATCTAGGAAAGGTTTGTCTGGCTCACTAGGTTTATATCTATCTATATATATATATATATATATATATATATATATATATATATATATAATATATATATGCCTATATAATCAAGGGACAATATAAATAGGTAGAAAAGGAAAACTTATCTTATGACATGATAATGTCCTTGAGAGAGCGAAACGTGTCGCTTAAGATAAGTTTTATATGTGACTGTGTGCGTGTGTTTATGTATATATATATATATACGTATACATATATATGTATAAATATATATAGAAAAAGTTGCAAATTAAAAAAATAATAATCGTATATATATATATCAGTGAGAGGGGCCGGTGTGCAACTGAAATCGTTGAGAGGAAGGCCCCGAAACGGTGCACAATCTCTCTTGCTGACCCCAGTTTAAAATTCGACAGGAACACATCAAATTCAGTGAAGTCATATGCCGTAGTGAAGCTCGGTGGAAGTGTCATTGACATGAGGAGCATTACACATTCAGCTCGCTTCAGGTGAGTTTCAATTACTTTCCAGTAATTTCCTTCTTATATATACTACTAATAATAATAGATAAATGATACGTAGCTTTTAAAATCAATAATTGTAATTGGGAGAATGATGTCCCTGATCGATTAAAATGGTAGAAACATATTTATGAGGGAGAAAACATCTTTGAAGAAAAAAAGCTTCCGTCATTGAAAGATGAAAAATCGTCCCAAGAAATGTGCTGCCGATGGAAAATGGCAATCAACTTTTTATGTGATATTTGTAGCTGTGCCTCTCGCAAGCTGAACTAATCCACCGTATACTTAGCCGTGCAAGAACACCACCAACTGCTTAGACGCAAAGAATTTCTATACATTTACCTCCCCCCCCCCAATTTGTAATAAAGCATGTAGAAATATATCCGGATTAGCGTGACATGTGAAATCTTAGAATATCTAATCCAATAAGCAATCAAAATGAGAATTTTTTTTTTTGCGGTTGCTCATGAAAAAAAAGGGTTAATCTCTTACAGTGCTTAAATCGTATTGTAAGAACCACAATTTATAGGTACCTTCTACATGTCTATATTTCTGAGATGTTGTATTATGTACACTATTTACATTATTTAATTATTGTCTCAGGCTTTGTCAATATATTTATTACAACGTTTCAACATTTCCTGTTGATCCGGCCTTCTTCAGGAAGTTGGAATGTCGAACTGAACCTTTTCTGGAACTAGAACAGTCTACCCCAGTGAGCGAAATAAAGGCTTCAGTTCGACATTCCAACCACCTGAAGAATGCCGGAGCGTACAACGGCTGAAACGTTGTAATAACTATGGCGACAAAGATGAGGACACTAGCCCGAATTATGTAAATAGTGTAACTTGTACTTTTCTTCGTTTTATTGAAATGTTGTAAGAACCTCGACGCAAATTTACAATGGATATTCTAACAAACAAAGGTATATGGGAAGGTATGTAATAAAAAATATATATTTTTTAATTAGGCTGTAGACATTTTGATATGACTATCTCCGTATATATTGAATTATGACTTGGAACTAAATGTTCTGATCTATATATTTGGAAATGAATTAAGTGCATTGACAAAGAAGAAAGTTGAAATAAATCTATATAGAAAGAGGTCTGGATTAGTTTCCCACGTCAAACCTTAAAATATCAATGTGCAATCGAAGAAGTAATTCACGCAAGAGTTGTCAAACAAAAAGTGTAAATCTCTTGTCGGGCTTAAGAATCACTTCAAAGAACACAATTTATAGGTCACATGTATATGCGACATTTTACACCTTTTATTCAGAGTTTCATTCTAAAATAATGATTCAATTTATTCCAAATTCTGTAGAATAATATTTAAATTTGAACATAGCATTTTTTTGCGTTGAGATTTAATCAAATAAATGTATTTTCACATGTAAAATTGATTTTAAAATTAGTGTGACAGTGTAAAGCACCCATGCAGTAGAGGCCTTACCTCATGTTGCAATAACAAATAGTCATACTCAATGAACGAGTCACCAATAAGCACATCACATATTTCAATCTATATATCTATCTCAGTTTATACATCTCTCTCTCTCTCTCTCTCTCTCTCTATATATATATATATATATATGTATGTATATATATATGTCACTCTATAGATAATGATTTCTCCCTCTCTCTGTATATATATATATATATATATATATATATATATATATATATATATATCAGTCTATCATCATGCTCTCTCTCTCTATATATATATATATATATATGTATATATATGTCAGTCTATTTATCATGCTCTCTCTCTCTCTATATATATATATCAGTCTATTCATATCTATCTATCTATCTATCTGTGTCTATATATATATCTATATATCAGTTAATGTATCTCTACCTATCTATAAATACCTCTCTACCTATCTATAAATATTTCTCTCACTATCTATATATCTATATATATATGGGTTTTCTTATCATTCTCTCTCTTATATATATATATACACACACACACACACACACATATATATATATATATCAGTATATCCATATCTATCTATATATATATATATATATACGTATGCATATATATATTTCTATTTCTATACATATGGATATATATATATCAATCTTATCAATCTTAGTCTATTCCTATTTATGTATCTATATATCTCTATGTCCGTATCTACCCATATAAATGTGTGTGTATGTGTATGTGTCTGTGTATGTGTGCTGTGTGTGTGTCTAAGTCGTCATACCTTTGCACATCATACTTACTATCAACTTCTAGATTTCAATGCATAAAAACACACACACCTTGTACCCTGATATTTCATCAGGACTTCAAACGTTTCATTCTTTGCCGAATGAAAGCGCTACATTCCACTGAGACTGACCTGAAGGAAAACGATTTTTAACATCTCTTTTTCAACAATCTTCCATCAAATCTGAAAAATGGACAGAATTTGGTGTGGCACGAGTGCCAAATATTTCCGCGAATCTTTAATCTTCCCCAAAATGGCACAAATTGCATTTTAGCCAGTGGCCTGTTTTTTTTTTCTTATAGTTTTAAGTAAATTAATATTTCTTGCGAAAAGATATTGCATCTAAATTGATTCTCTGACGGACAGATAAATAGAGCATCTGCTTTATCTATAGTTTGATAAACACACACACACACATACACACACACACACACATATAAGAAGAGAGAGTGTGAAGAGTCGTGAGAGTCTTTAAGTGAAAAAGAGAGTCACTCAGTGTATTGGCAGAGAGGTAGTGAGAGAGAGAGAGAGAGCACTGAATGAGAGTAAGAGGGGAAATGATTCTGTAGAGCGACTGAAATAGGGTTTGGGTGAAACGCAGTATACATACATACATACATATATATATAAATGGAATAAATTATGACCAAATCTCTCTCCCCAACCCCTTTTTCTTTTCTTTTCCTCTCCCTCCCTCTTCTTCTGGTCTTTAAGATTAGATCGTCTTTTGTGTGTGTATGTCACCACAAAATGTATCCTTTCCGATTACATCTTTAATGTATTAAACATCCGACAACATTCATATTTCTCTCACTTAAACCGTCTTCAACTCACCTCTCTAAAACTTCTCTTTGTTAAGTTTTAATCTCCCACCTTCTCTCGTCTGTTACCCCTCTCTTTAGCTCTAACATTCTCATAATTAGACTCTGTCTAAATTCTATTTTATTTCCAGAGTTGTTTTTTCTGTTTTCTTTTTGAATTTGTAGGTCTGATGAATTGGATCGTATTTACGATTCCAATGGAATGAATTATGACCATGGAATATTAGTGTTTAAGCCTTTTTATTATATCCTTACTCTGTCCTGGACATTTGAGTTCTACCTGGATTCTATCCTCTTGGAATTTATTTATACAAAATATATATGTATGTGTATGCATGTATGTATATATATATTTATATATTTTGCATATGTATGTATATTTTTACTAATATTATCTATCTATCTATCTATCTATATATATATATATATATATATATATATATATATATATATATATATATATATATATATATTGAGTGTATTTAGGCAGCATTTTTTCATTGATGCATGTTTCATTAAATAATATAGACAAATATTGTCTATTTATTTTATGTAAATTCTTTTCATATCATCTGATAAGCTTAATAACATTATCATTAAAAGAAGAAAGAAAATCACAATATTGATATATATTTTTTAATTCTATCTAAGCTTTCGGCTTACATAAGCCATTATCAAAAATGACAATTACATTACAATATATTAAGCAATACACGCCCAAAACAATAATGATAGTCTGTTTTTGTTTACATAGAAGATTTCCAAGCAACGACAAACTCGTGCATATGAGACGCTGGAAACTAAAATCGCTCCGCAGCTCATGGTTTCACACATTACCACTCGAGAGCGAAAACGAGAAGTATTAAGTATGGGATGCCATTGGTATAAGCCAATGGCTTCTGTTAACAATTATAGACATTTAAGAATATTTGTGGAGATTTCGTAGTTTATTTTGTTCAGGTTAGGTTTCAACTGTTTTGTGTATATTGCTTCAAGAATTTTTAGTTTTTGTTTATTGTTTTCATGTTTAAGTATAGTTTTGTTTTTAACAAGGATTTTCTGCAATTGTGTACGCGGCCAGGCATGCCTAAAAATGTAAGTGTCAAGCGTCGTGAAAGCGATTTTGAATGATAACTAACATTTTTAGGCATTCAAACAATACATAGATAGATAGATAGATAGATAGATAGATAGATAGATAGATAGATAATCTGAGTGAATGATCGAGAGAGAGAGTGTGTGTGTGAGGGGGAGAGAAATATAAAAATCTTGATTGAGTAACTGACTGAAGTTGATCATCTTCATGTGCCGTGTCCCCGAGGGACGTAGGCGGTCTTGGCTCACAATTTCCTTTCATTTGTAACACTTAATAATTTTGTCTTTTTATTATTCGGCTTAAATCTTGTTATGCCATTCATTTAGTCAAGCTCATTAAGCATGTCATGCGTTGTTTTCATCTGTCCCTCTTGCCTTCTATCTGTCCCGTGAGTATCAGGTTTTCTAAACCCTCTTTCCTCATTATATACCCTCGATATTTCAACTGTCTTTTCCCGACGTTAATTATAAGCGTCATTTTTGTTTTCATTTTCTCTAAAACATAATCGTTGCTCACATGTTCGGTTCGTGTTATCCTCATCATCCTTCTGTACAACCACATTTCTGGTGTTACAAGTTTCTTCTTCATCTTTGAGTAGATTGTACAATATTCACTGCCATATAGGAGTGCAGATATAACCTAACAGCTCAGTAGTATTTTCTTTATAACTAAAGTTTTTTTTCTGTTTCTTAATACACTGCTTAGTTTTTGGAAGGCATCTTTCGCCATCCCAAAGCGCCTTCGGGTTTCAGTGTCGCACTTTCTGTCCTCTGTTAAAACACTTCCCAGATTTTTGTACTTATTTGATTTTGGTATCTCCAATTTGCAATTTGCGTTTTGGGCTCATCCTTTGCCAATGGCCTACCTTCTGTAGGAGTTTGTTTTAAAAATTTTCAGCGTCTGCAATCAACATGGTGTCATCTGCATATCTTCTGTTGTTAAGATTGTGGTTACCAATAATGACTCTTTGTAGGACATCTAATTTTCTCAAAAGCCCTTCGCTGTATCGGCTGAACAAGTTTGATGAGAAGACGCAACCTTTCTAGTTTTTATATCTCCTGAATTTCTTTTTGTATGTAGGTGGTTTGCAGTCAATATAGCTTCTTATATATATCTATATCTATATCTATCCCATCCCTCCCTCCCTCCTCTCTCTCTCTCTCT